AGTTTAGGGCATGAAGAAAGAAGAGGCATTATGCCGAAGAGGCTAAGGCCGAAGAGGCCCCCACAAATTTGTGGTGTCAAGTGGGCAACTACACAGACTATTAAGTTATTTTCAAAGGTTCAACAGCAAGTTCGAACTCTTCGAAAATAGCTCTCTAGTCATATTTTATATTTTATTATATAACTGTTTTGCTCGTCATTAATTTGTAATTTTAATTGGAGATGATGGACCATTCCATCTCCTTGGGACACCAAATTTGTGTCCCTCAAAATCGTCAAAAAGATGCATATGTGTTAGTTAGAGTTAAAAATATTAAAATTTTCGTAATATTAAATTTTGAAGCTTAATTAACGTTCGGTGAATATTACAGTCATTTCTTTTTTCTTGTTTCGTTTTTAAGATTTTTTACTTTGATCGTATTTTATTAAATTTGTAATTTTTCTTGTCCATATAATGCAATTTAAAAGTAGTTCATAATAATTAATAGATATTATTTTTTTTTAGTAACTCTTAATATTTGTACTTTTCCCTTTTTTTATATATATTTTATGTAAATGTAAAATCACGCGTTTAAATTTAATTTTATTGCAACGGTTAATAGAGATTTGTGATAGAAGTAAATAGAAAATTTAATTGAAAAGTGCATCTGAGAATTGGACGATTTATATGTCAGGCTATTGTATTTCTTTTGACTGTATGACTAATATAGTTTTCTTCTTGTTACAGGTGATCATCGTAGGATTTAACAACAAACCTCTCAGATTTTCTTCCATTTGAACGCTTTAAATGACTCCTTTTTAAAATATATGTTTAAATGCATTTCTGAAGGCACACACATGTTTATACTTTCCTTTTTTATATTAAATTAAATATAATTATTTAATTTTTAGTGTATAACAATATGACTATACTATATATGCTATCAAAGAATATATCATTTACAATTATATACTATCAAAGAATACTGTATTCTTTGATAGTATTCTACCGTCATTGCATTAAGTACCTACTATAGCCCACCGGTGATCAGGTTAATTACTAAGATAAATGTGGTTACGGGAAAAGTGGACTTTTGAGCTTCTAGATATTTCTGCATTCTTTGTAAAAACCATGGAACGCTGTCATTAAGTATATATACATAGAAATGCATATAAAATGTGAAATGTTGGTAAAGTAGTTGCCTTTAATATTTTTCGTTTCGATTTTGTAGTATTTGAATATAAATTTTTTTTATTTTTCTTTTGGTCGGCTTCAATTTAATTTTCTTTTTGTTTGTTATAAGATATTTATTGTATTTAATGTAAAGGGATAAAATTGATTATAGTAATATAAATATATATAGGTGATTAATGAATATGGTAAGAAAGTAACTATTTTATTCGGTTAATTATAGTCGCGTTTTTTTACTGCGATATCGACAATTACCTTTTTTATGCTATTTCGAAAATGTTTTTTAAAAATATGCTTAAGTAATGTTGATTATTTCTTTCCTGTTTCCAAATGGACGTTAAATAATAATATTTAAACAATCATTACGATAATGATGCAAGGAAATAATTTTGTGGTATGCATGAATAGTAAATTATTTTATGAGCGCATTAGATTAAAAGTTTTACTTATAGATATTATATATTAGATTATGTAATAGATAAATTACGTAGATAACTATTATACTGATATTCTCGTCAATCATTGATATTGCTAGATAGATCTCGATAATAATAATAATAATCGAATATTATCAAAATTTCTTATCACGTGTTAACAGAATTCTAGATCATCTAACGGGTGTCTATAATTTTTCTCAATTAAATTTACTAATTCATTTGATGAATAAAAGTAAAGAAAAATTAAATATATACATTGAATAAATTATTGTATTTATTTGATTTTAATAGGAATAATAATCTAACATAATTTAATTTATTATTTTAATTTAAATGAAAACAAAAACACTATTACACATTTTATTATTAGTTAATTTTGTTGGATACGAAGCGAACACAAGAATTCTTTCTATGCGCAGTCGCACAACCTAATGTTGACCATAAAACGTTGATTTTGCCTGCGAGATATTTATTTCGATTCTAAAACTCGCGAAGGTCGGCACGTGCAACTGTTGTATTTAGAAAAAACATTTCAATATATTTCATAGAGTACTTGTGAAAGGATCTTTATAGATAACGATCTTTGTATCCTTTTTTAAAGTGTTTTTAATGATTTTCGTGACTCGCGAGTGATTTAACCAATTGTTTTTTATTTTGTAAATGTGCTTAACTATTTAAACGCAAATTTTTATGTTAAACTGTGATCATCGTGCGGGAGTCGCGATTAGATTATTTATTTTATAAAAAGATTAGATTCTTCGTGTCGAATATTTTTGTATTATTTTGTTATTAGTTTCAATCGTGCAGTAAGTATATTTATGTATTGTTTTCTGTTAGTATAGTTCCATTTCACTTAAGTGAAAGTAAAATTTTATATTATCAATCAGCACCGTTCTCGTTGCATTTAGTATACTTCGCCATGTATTCATATAGCACTTTTACATTCATTTATCAGCACTTGTCTCCGCATTAAGATTTTGATAAGAGAATAAATATGAAAGAAAAAAGAAAGAAACACTTCGAGATTAGTTAATTTTAATTAAACAAAGGGTATTTTTTATAAGGCCTAATCATTCCAGAATTCAACTTTTGGAATTCGTCAAGAGATTAGAAATTGGTATGACGTTTTTCCTTTAGCAAATGATAACGGAACAATAGTTATTTCTTTCTCTGTTTACATTCTTTTCCTTCAGACTTTCATGGTAAATGTTACGATACGTTTTTTTAAATCCTCTTTAAAAATTCATGAATTTCTTTTTAAAATTTTTTTCAAATGAATAAAAAGAAAAGATAAAAAAACCGAAAATATATTTTATATATATACATTCTACATAGATAAATTATTATTATAATTATTTTTAAACGCAGTTTAGTGAATATTAAATCACGTTATACAAAACGTAGTGTCACACGCACGCCACACAATATACACACGCGTCTGTTGTTATCTATTATTTTGTATTACCACAATATTATTGCGAATTCACACTTCACTTCTTTTATATATATATTTTTTACAAGACAATGATACCAATCAGTTTAATTTTGTAATAGTCAATTTTGTAATCGTCAATTGTGTAATCTTGGTTAGTAATGAAGATAGTTTAAATGTAAGTGACCTAGTCTTGACTAACAAAATGATGCACAGTGTACTTCAGGGTCATTATGCGACTTATGTCGAGATATCGAGGAATTTTTCCTTATGTCGTCATAGTTTCTATTTTTTTTTCTTATTATTTTAATTGTCAATACAAGGTAAAAGTACGAATATAGAATGGAATTAGATAAGATGTGGAGAAGGAGAAGGAGAAGGAGAAGGAGAAGGAGAAGGAGGAGAAGGAAAAGGAGAAGGAGAATGAGGAGAAAAAGATTAATGGGAAATCAAGAACACAGTCACGTTTCTTTTGTGCATTCAAAATAGTTACGATCTTTGAAGTGTGATTTCTTTTTACCTTCAATTATGACCCTTGATTCGCATACGTGATTTGCATTTAATTGATTCTCCGAGTTATAATCTTTAATTAATGTTCGATTTTTATTTTTTTTTTGTTTTTTTTTTTTTGTTTCTTTTTTATTTGTTTCCATTTAGTGTCACGCATGAATTGATATATCTTGTTGCGAATTAATTTCATTTTGTATTATAATCACAGTCATATCACATTTTATTTATATATCACGGAATCTTTATTATTATTGAATCTTACGAACACACACCAAAATTGTATTTTTTATATTGAGAAAATTTTTTTTATCGCTTGTGAACGTCACCTTATCTTTCTAATTGACAGTTTCACACCTGGATGGAGTATTAATAAAAAATAACAAAGTGATATCTTGCTTGCAACAGATGGATTTGCGATAAGCGAACTATAGAATTGATCGAATCTTTGTCGAGTTTATACGAACGAAAGTAAAATACTGAATTTGTTTGAAAAAGAAGAAGAAGATAAAGAAAAGAAAAACTAAAATAAGATTGTTATCAAAAAGATACTGGTTGGATCATCGAAATACGAAGGTTCATATTGCGGTTACTTCGAATGTGTAATCAGAAGATTATGGTGTCACGGAGTCGATAACTTAAAAATTTCTCGGAAACGTCTCGAAAGTTGACTTATACAAGTTTATAGCCGACTATCTCTCATTCCGAGATTCTTGCCCTCATATGACTAATATGCCTGGATGAAATAATATATAATAAGAAGTATAAATAATATTTATTATTTTTTTTTTCGTTATCACCATCGAATCATCAAATTATTTTCTGTTAATCGGGGCGGGTGTGGGGAGGAGAAGATAGATTTGTATCTTTTAAAACAAGATATGTAGATAGAAGGAAAGTGAATAATAAAACGTGTTGAGGGGATCATTAAGAGCATTAAGAAGAAAGTTCTTTGGGAAAAGGGAAAGGGAAATTTCTTGAAGGTCTCATTGCTGTCAGTTTCGATTTACTATGGTTTTACAATCTTTCAATCTTATTTCTTCTCGTTAAGAAACAAGTTCTGCTTGAACTGTGCTGTTATAACAACATACAAAAACAAAGATTTTATCAAGAAAAAAATTTATATATATAAATATATATATTTCTTTTTGGCTTATAAAAAATGAAGAATTTTTTCCAAACTATTCCACAATATTTAGAAAATGTTTATAAATTATTAATAAATAATTAACTTAGAATAAAGAATTTTTCGAAGTATTATGATAAAATGAATGAATACATATTTTCTTCCTAAAGTTAAATTTAATTTCGATGTTTAAAAAAACTATTGTTGCATTTGTTATTCGAAAAGCAATTTAGAAGACTGTGAACACGTGTTTATAAAGAATGAGACAGTAATATACTTACAACGAATTTAATAAAGAAATAAATACGTTTAATGAAAGTTAACAGTGCAAAGAAAATAGAAGATTGACGTTGACTATACTTTAAATAAGATATAAAAAGAAAGAAAGGGTTCGGTCCCTTATTAGAAAACTGGTTGAAAGGAGAACATGGCAGAAAAAGGCCTGTCAGAAAGTGAACGCAACGTAGTTCATGAATTCGATGAAGAAACTACGGTTAAAAGGATAAAATGGCGAAATCTTGTTGCATTTTGGATACTCGGAATGTGCAATAATTATGGTTACGTCGTCATGTTGAGTGCTGCTCATGATATCCTTGCCAGTAGGTTTGGTACTATAGTAAGTTCTTTATTTTTCTTCATCTATTTGTATTTTTTATTTTGACCGATTATTTTGTGTACGATTTTAAGAAACTCTCACTGTATATATTGAATCAATTAATTATTTTTAACACGATAATACGAGTTTCACTTCTATCGCGAGTGTGGAGGGTCATTCACATTATTATTTTTTATTTAATATCTTTTATTATTATTATTTTTTTTTGTTATTATAGAACGAAACAAGTGATACTAACGGAACAGAAATAATACGAGAAAGAGCGTGTAACACTGTATCAACCGGTGTAATACTTTTAGCTGATATATTACCATCTTTGGTGATTAAATTAATTGCACCGTTTTTACCATTTTTCGTCCAGTGAGTACATGATTTTTAACGACAACAAACAATTTTTTACACAATACAAAATTTGATAAATATTGTATTAAGAATAAATAAATCTGGGTTATAATCTCAGCACGTCGATGGAATGAATTCTGCGTAAATCACTTCGGGGATTACGTTAATTTAGTATTTCAAAAAATAATCCTGATCGATATATTCGAATGATATTAATTACAGTATTCGACTGGCTACCTGTATCTCATTTTCCGCTGCAGGATTTATAATGGTATCAGTAAGCACTACCAAGTGGCTCGCCATTATGGGTGTCGTTGCTACATCTATTTCCTCAGGATTGGGTGAAGTTACTATGATCAGTTATAGTCATCAATATTCTAAGTAAATTTATTTATATATTTAATCTTAATTATTTATATATTTAAACTTATCTTTCGTGTGAATAGGGGGAAAAGAGGAAGGAGAATATAATATATTATATAGGTGTATTTTTATTTTTAATTAATTTTAAAAGAATTGAATAAAATAATACGCGTATAAACATAATTATTGAAATGACAGATTTCGTTAATTATTTCATTGTTTTCTTGCAATTAGACAAGTTATTTCAACATGGTCGTCGGGAACTGGAGGTGCTGGTCTTATAGGTTCCCTCTCATACGCTGGTTTAGCAACATGGTTAAAAACATCGGACACTTTGTTACTGATGTTGATTGTACCATGTATCCAAGCTGTTACATTTTGGTTCATTTTGGTTCATCCATCTAATACGGATCGTCTTTTCGTTAAACGTCGTACAGAAAGTCAGGAACAAATCATTGAAACACCAACGATAAATTTCAAGGATAAAATACGTTTGATTCCTGGATTGCTAAAATACATGGTTCCATTAGGATTCGTTTATTTCTTCGAATATTTCATTAATTATGGCCTGGTAATGTGTTTTTCTATTTTTAATCATTAATTTACTACGTCTTTATTGTTTATCGTTTAAGTAAATAATTTTGATAAAGTTCGTTTGTTTTTTTTTGTTCGTGTATTTTATAATTCGTGATGCATTTCTTGTTTTTTTTTTCTTTTTTTTTAGTTATTTATTTTTAATAAGATTTTATATTTTTCCATATAATTTTGGAGTACTATTTCTTTTTTTTTATCGACACATTTTCTCATCGTTATAGATCAATTTGTTCTTTTATTTTTTTCAAGTACGAGTTAGTTCAATACGATAATATATGGTTGACGTATCACGAGCAATATAGGTGGCTTCAAGTGGACTATCAGATTGGAGTATTCATTTCGAGGTCATCGGTAAATCTAGTTAGTTTTAATAAGATCTGGATCATGGCTGTTCTTCAGGTAACAGAATATTTCACGATGGAATTATATCCCAACGTGATATTATTTACTTTCTCAATCAGTACTTCACTTTTTTCTCTTAATCTATTAAATTTATTTATTTATTTTGGTCTTTCACACACACACACACACCCACAAATGATGTTATCTATAAATTGTATTTCATATTTTTTATTTTCAGTTCTTAAACGTCATGATTATACTTTTCGAAGCTATATTTTATTATATTCCTAATTTTTGGATCGTGTTTGTCGTTGTCCTATGGGAAGGTTTTATCGGTGGTAGTGCCTATGTTAATACTTTTTACAGAATGTCTAATGAGGTATATTTATATTTTTTTAAAACATTAATTTGAGAACTTTTAATTGACGAATATTAGAATCAAAATTGATATTATTTGTATTCATTTATATATCGAACATTGATTTAATATGAGAATATATAATAATTAAGACAAAAACTTTGTCTGTTATTATATTTTTCTTTATTATAATAATTCGATAGAGTATTTTTGTTTAAATTAAAAATTTACTTATTCTTTTTCTTTTCTTTTTAGATCCCATTAGCAGTTAGACAAATTTCATTGGGAATAGCAACAATGGCGGACGCTATTGGCATTGCATTTGCTGGTTGGTTGTCAATGCCAGTGCACAATGCAATCTGTGAATTACCAAAACCCATAAGATTAGGTAGCTAGGAACGAATAATTCGATGAAAAATTCTATTTGAAAATCGTATTACTAATACACGAGAGAGAGAGAGAGAGAGAGAGAGAGAGAGAAAGGAGTGTAAATAATTTATTTTTTCATCGAACTCAATCGATTAGTATATGAATTTGATTTACAAATAATTAGATTTATATTGTAGTCTTATAATTTATAATATAATTTTTTTAATTTATGTTAATACGACAAACACATGTGATAAATTTTTGTGATTTCTTTTTTTGTTGTTGCCATCCACCAAAGTGGATTAATCTTTAGTTAATATTTCGTCCTATTCTTGTTTTTTTTATTTTTATTTAAACGTTTTTTATTTTTTTTTTTCAATTTAATTTTATTATTATGAATTTAAGAATAATAAAGTGGAGTTAGGAGAGGGGGGAGTGGAGAGATAATACGTAGCAGACACTTAAAAGTTTATTTTGTCATTTGTTTGAAATATTTTTCATATTTGTCTAGTACAAATATGTACTTATACATGATTAGGAACAAGGATAACTTATCTGACTCGTAAAAATAAAAGATATACGCGTATACGTACCACAAACATGATTACACATGTTCTCACACATACCCACGTAATTAAAAAAGAAAGGAAAAAGTAAATCAATTTTATCTTCTTTTTTTTTTTGAAATTTTTCTCTCGTTAAAATTTTGCACGATAAATTTCGATTTAATTTTTGTTGTATTATATTAAATTTGTACGATTATTTATAAATATAAATTGAGACGATACGACGTGCAAGCATTTATAGCATTTAAGCATTAATACAATGTCGAATTAAAATTATATTGTTTATTTGATTAATTAATGATTAATTCCAATATTAATATTATTTCAGTCGTTTATATATGTTTCAAATAAGTATGTATGTGTATGTGCGTGTGTAATACACTCGAAAGATATTCTATGTTCTTCCGATAAAAACGCAATTAATATTATTATTATAATTATAATTATAATTATTATTATTATTTCTCTTAATCAACTATTCGATGACCAAAATTTCTATTTTTTCTTTTTTTTTTTTTCAATGAAATGGACGCAAGATAAATGTCGAGTATACGCACGCAAAAATTCTTTCTTTCCAAAATTTGCTATAAAAAATAAAATTAAAATATATTCTTGTTACAACACGTATAATGATATATTGTTTATAATTTTACGAGAACATTATTTTATTATACAATTTTGTAATTTTTCTCCTTTATCTGCAAGAATGCAAGTTTACTCGATCATATTTTTGGTTTCGTTTTGTTTTGTTATTATTATAATAGGTCATTTTTCCATCGAACAATATTTAATAATAATGATACAGATAAAAATCGTTTAAAAAAATATTGAATAAAAAATAGGAACTTCATTAAAACTAATGATTCGAACGATCATTCGGGCAAAGTAGGAACTATAATTTGTTACTTTTCGAATAAACACGCTGATCCAACAACATTGGCGATTGTATAAAACGATATTTTGATTAATAAAATGTTTTTTCTTTTTCTTTTTTCTCCTTATATAATATAAATATGACCCAGTCGTTATCGTTTCATTCGCCAAAAAGTCGATCTTACCGTCGTTCCAAAAGTCGTTGCAATTAATACTTATCATTTTACATATTTAATAATTAATAAATATATATATATATATATATATATATATAGCTAATTATTAAATATATACTAATATCTAAAATATATACGTTACGTGACAATAATGGAATATTCAATGTACGTTTGATTTGATTAATTTTTTGATTTATCGAGTTGAGCATGGCGGATCAATTTCAGTTCTGGGTGTCTCAAAATCGCCTTTCCATTTTTCCAGAAGACCACGATCCCTGAAACTATATAAAAATCAGTGACATTTTAATCATATAAAAATATGGATATGATAAACAAAACAATTGTACCGTTCTAAAATCAATTTCCCAGATTCTTCATACTCCTGTCTTGACAACCACATTTGTTGAAAGGATCCAAGTGAGCTTAGTATTGAACCACCGATCCAAGCACCATAACGACGTTCACTTGGACTATTGGCGCTGATTATTTTCAATCTCATACTCTGTCAACAAAGTTAATCATAATTAAATAATAATCCGTTCAACAAAATAATGATAAATAAATAATTACCGGAGGTGTTTTACTAGCCAGGTCTCTGTTTAATCTTTCGCTGAATCCTTGCAAACAAGAATTACCTCCAGTTACCACAACGCTGCCGTACAAACTCTTAAATCAATAATAATTTGATTAGTTCAAATATTTTTAAAGATCATATCGTTAAGAATATTAGTCGATACTTACAGGTCTTATATCCATATCACACATGCCAACACTTGTTGTTACTAATGGACCAACACCTAGAATGCTAGCACCAACACCTTTAACATTACTAGGATCAAACAATGCCTCTGGTATCATTAGTCTTACGGAACCAAAATCGTCGTTATAGCCAGTTGGAAATTCAAAATGTTTCATTGGTAAAGTGTTAGCCATATCTTCGTCGTAAGGACTGTCGGAAACTTGCAAACAATTCATTTGAAAGTCTTGCAGCAACTCTCGTACCATGTAAGTTAACCAGGAAGTTGTTGGTTGGGGTCCAAGTCTTCTTGTCCAACGTGGTGGATCCCTTTCTCTAACCACATCTAAAAATAAACATAATTAATGATTGATTAATTAATTGATCATTAATATGATATTACAAATGATAAAGTTGTTACCTTTGCTAGCGACAAGAGAAGCAGGTATCAATTCGATATCTTTTTCTTCAAAAAATTGTCTACATTGCATCGTAATAAAATCACCCCCCAAAGGACTCTTAACAATTCCCTGTGTTATAACATAACCATCGTGAACCGGTACAGCACTCGTGTGTGTTGCACCACTGTCGACAACCATTGCTGTTGATCTCCCATTGGCGTATGCAGCTAAAACTGCATTCTTACAAATGTACATTGCTGGAACGTTAAACTTCTCGAACATTAATTCCAAAAGTTTCTCTCGTTTAATTCTCGTATTCCAAGGACACTCCGTCATCAGGATTGGATGATGTTCTGGTAATGCGTGAAGACGTTGCTTGTAGGTGTACTCGGTTAAACGTTCGAACATGTCCCAATCTTCGACCATTCCATCTTTCATCATGCTGACCATTTCCATATCTTATAAAATAGATATTTATTAATTATGCTACTTTATTTATTTATTTATTTAATTTAAAATTTTAAATCTCTAAAGGAATATATATGTATAGAAAAAAAAGAAAAAATAAAGATTTTCAATTTCTATACTTTACGAAATAAAAGATAAATATTGCACGCGTTACTTTTTATAATTATTAATTTAATTTCAAATAAAATAATACAATATAAATATCAAAACGAATGATATAACACTAGATAAATATTAGATTAATAAAATCAAACGATTTGAAATAATCAAATTTTGTTTAACATCTCATAAATTGATTTTTATGATTAAAGTCAATTAAATCAATTCCATTAATCTATATAGATGAAAATATTAAATTTCAATTTAATTGAGATAAAATAAATAAATAAATAAGTAAACATAAAAAGAGAAGGGGTGTGAGGGAGAGAGGACATTACCCTTTTTACGGACTTGAATGGCGGTGACGTCGATGTTATAGTGTTTCCTAACTGTATGATTACATTCCGGAGAATCGACGGGATCCTCCCATACGCCAAGGTTCGTTGGGATTTCAGCCTTTGGTGTATCCTCACCGCCATATCCAACGCGTAGGCTCTGATGTCCAACGTCGAAAATAATAGCACCTACCTCGTCTAATTACGACGAAAGATTAAATAATCTTACGCGACGTGTATGTGTGTATGCATGCACGTGTGTGTGTGATATTATTAATTTTTTAAATTGTTGATAATCCAACTGTATAGAAAAAATACGGAAGAGCTTGCACTACTCACCACCACCGTAGACACCACCGCTCATAGTATCTGCAAGGAGCTATGGTTTCGCGCATGCTCAATCAAATTCTTCCATGGTGCGCTTCCATACTGGGGAAAGCTTTTCATTATTATTCCTGGATCCATTCGATAGAACCTACCGACCAACCAACCAACCCTGACCTCCTCCTCTCTCATTCTACCCTTAACTTCCTCTCGAATAATCCCCTATACTTTATTTTATAGAAAATGTTTATATTTTATTTACCTTAACAATGCGTTTTCTTACCAATTGTATCCGATATGGTCACGTAATTATTTTTTCCGTGTCAAATATTTTTTTTTGAATTATATTTACGATTTGTTAGTAGTTATAAAATTATCTATTACATATATATATATTATTAATATATTAAATTTCGGTAATTGAACATTTCATACTTAATGATTTAATAATGTAATATATCTATAATATATTAATTGTATATATATAGTAATCGTATATAGATCATCTTTAAATAATTGTATTTTTTTGTCGGAAGTATCAAAAAGAGGATTGTTCAAGGGTTTTCAATAGAAACGTTATCAATATGGAATTAGTGTTGTATATTTTACAAAGTAAATAGAATATAAACAATCTAAAGTTATCTAAAACACAATAGTACGAATTTCGTGGTAAATCATTTCATATGTCATAAAGTAGACGATATATCAACAGGGCGAGTTCTCTCTCTCTCTCTCTCTCTCTCTCATTATCTTTCTCTCTCTCTCTCTCTCTCTCTCCCTCTCTCTCTCTCTCTCCCTCTCTCTCTCTCTCTCTTTTTCTCTCTTTTTCTCTTATTTGGCTCACGTCACCTAAATTCGAGAGTCGAAATAACGAGTACGACTGAAAAATGATTGATCGTTCATATTGTCGAGCGAACGAACGATTATTTCACTTATTAGATACGTTTTTTTTCGCAAACTGATTCAAGATGACAACACATATTTAATACATATGCATTTTTTTTTCTTCATTTTTTTTTCTCTTTTTTTTTTTTTTTTAGATATCCGAAGGCTGCTGCTTCTGCATCTGCGTCTGCGTCATATTATCTTTTTATTTCACTTTATTTTATTATTTTTATTCTTTTTTTTTATTATTTAATATTAATATTAATATTTATTTTATTTTATTTTATTTTTTTTCCCCTTTTTTATTTTTCTTATACTCGCAATGAAACTTCGCATTTGTTTTTATTTTGTTTACAACGCCGGGTCCGCCACCGATAAATGAAATCGTCTAGACGGCGAGCAAATTATACATTTCGAACGCCATACTTTTATATTTTATTTCTCTTTCTTTTTAATTATTAGTTTATTTATTTATTTCTTTCTTTCTTTCTTTCTTTAATCGTTGCTTAAGATTCGAGCGTATCATTTCGTTTAATTTACATTTCCTTCTTTGCACGACACGTCGATGGTAAGGAAACAAATTAAAAAAAAAAAAAGAAAAAGAAAAAAAAAATAGAAATCAACGCGATCCCGAGTTTTTTACTTTCGTTTTTTATTTTTTCATTTTTATTTTTACTTTAAATTTCCTCTCTCTCTCTCTCTTTCTCTCTTCTTTCGTAGGATACCTTCGTACGACACTGTGCTCTGTTTTACATACATACGTAAATAACGTGAACGAATCTCATCATTTCTAAGGAGAATTTGTCTCGATGTCTCTCACTCTCTCTTTTTCTCATTCTTTCTCTTTCTCTTTTTCTCTCTGTTTACTTTGTTTTATTTTTTCTCTCTTCTGAATTTCTAATTGGAAGACGAACACGTAAATACGGAATAAAAGTTAGCTCGTTGCTCGTGTATTATTTAATTAATTAATTAATTAATTTATTTATTTATTTATTTATTTATTATTATTATTATTATTATTAATATTATTATTATTATTATTATCATTATTATTATTACTTTTTGTTAATACGAATAACATATATGTAAATACGTACGACGTGGGTGTAGAAAAATCCAAAGGAAGGAACTTAGACGAGTCTGAATTGGCGGACTCGTCGTGATTTGCGGACTCGTGAAAATGTCTCTCGAGGAACATCGAAGACAAATATACATGCACACATACACACACACGCGCGCGCACACACATACGCATACACATATATATGCATGTATTATGCGTACGCAGTTTTAATTTATATACGTATGTATATAATTATACTCTTGAGAGAGCTGCTGCTGCTGCTGTTCTTTTTTTTATTTTTTTATTTGTTTCTTTTTTTCTTTTTTTTTATTTTTTGGCACGGGTTATTCGCTCATTTGTGTTGTTTATTTGTTTTTAAAAATTTGTCTTTTTATTTGTTATCTTTTAAAATTATCCTTTCTCGATAGTGATGATGGTTATATAATTACTTATCATCTTTATAAGACGGAGACGCGTTAAAATGAAAAAATGGCAGTTTAGAGCACACATGGTTGTTGAAGTTTAAGACGAGCTCGTTTTGTTGATAATAATAAATACAGTCGGCGCGCGTTCCTTGGGCAAGTTGTTTGAGGAACGCCTGGTAAGATTCGTCAAAGATCATCAAAGGAGGAGGGGCCGGGAACAAGGTGCGTAGGGACAAGGCAGAGATAATTAATTAACGAGTGTCCTGATTAATTAACAACAGACGGACCCTAGCTCACATCGATATAATTAATTTGAAGGTGCGACGATCAGAGTTATGGTGATACTATTCGGTTCTGTTTGTTCTTCCTGTTCGTATCGTTGGGATTGAATTAGCGTAGCTTAAGTTTTTAGGTTGTTCTCTTCTTCGTTTAAGTATTATTCATATTCTCGTACGTATGGATTTACGTAAGGTTTTTTTTCATTTATTATTTACACCGCGATTACGAAGTCACGGACATTTCGTTGGCTGCAGTGACCACCACGGTCCAGGTCGCACTCCGCTTCGCTTAACTCAAACGCGTCGGAGAAGCCCGAGGGTGGGTCCAACTTGGGGACGAACAGGTTTCCTGATCCGTCACGTTCCTGGTCCCGATTGGTACAGGAATTGCTCGACTGGTGCTTGGAATTGCCAATCCCGGTGATTGGCCCGAAGTTGGTACGGGTCTCCTCGCTGGGATGACGCGCCAACCGTAACATCCTGTTTTTCAATGATAATAGTATATTATACTTCATCTATCAAATCTTATTTACGTAAGATACAATATTACGGATGAAAATAATTTGATGGTATGTATTTCTAACTTACTTGGGTCTTCCCCTTCCAGGAAACGATTTTCTCTCAAGAATCGGTGAGGGTTCTGTAGACGTGCTAGATTCTGGTCCATGGTACAAGAAGTCTGTAACACGTTACAATACATTTATCTTGAATAATCTGTCACAGAATATAACACTCCACCGAATATTTAATTTATTATTTTTCTATCATTTTATTTATTCAACGGACGACGTAGCGTACCTCGCTTAAATCTAAGATACGGATAATACGGAAAAAAGGCAAATACAAGTGGGTGCTGTAGTGCGTTAGTATCGTAGAATCCTGCGGTAATCTTGAAATTTTTATAACTTTGGATATACAACTATTAGGACGATCGACCTGATTTGAATCAATTGTGAGAATAGCAAAAGATCAGAGAAAAATAAAAGAGAAAGAGAGAGAGAGAAACTAGATAAAGAAAGATCAACAGAATCCAATCCAAGTGAATGAGATAGATAGATAGATAAATAGATTGATAGATAAATAGATAGATATAGATAGAAGAAATACTGAAAAATAAAGTTGAAAAGAAAGAAAGAAAAAAAGACAATCAAAAAGGTAGAAAACAATGATAAACTGCATACTGTGGACACGCGAATCGGCGGCAGACGCCGAATGGTGCGAATCGACGAGATGATTGGAAGACTCGGTTCGGCTGCTGGTCCCGACTTCCGTGTCGCTGTCCGAGCCCAGGGTGTCGTATTCCTCCGACTCGGACTTGCCCTGACTGACCTTGTGCGTTTTGTGCAAGGGTGCAGAGGACGAACGGCCTCCGCGTACCTTAGTGTACCGGTTGCAATCCGACTGCAATCAGACGGAATTGTGGTTTCGATGAATGGCACTTCGCACGAGTTTCAACGAGGACACGCTAAACCGACAAAAATTCGCCCCTTCCCCCTTTTCCCCCTTCCCCACATCCCCCGCTATATATCTACACGTGTCCGATCATTTTCTTCTATCCGTTTTAGCTGATAATTCATTTCGAATGAATTTTCGGAATGATTGCTACCCTCTCTTACCCTTTTGAGATCAGACAACACGACAGTTTCTCATTTAATTTAGATCGTATTTACGTAGATACATCCGAAAGTTTAGCCAATTGAATCGTATAGAGTGGATGAATGATCTCTAGATCAGGGCCACTGTAATTCGATTTTCTGTTAACTTCTTAGAGGAGTTCTGCATGAAACTACGTCGTCATCGATAAAGAGAGAAAAAGAGATAGAGAGATAGAGAGAGAGTTAGAGAAAGTTAGAGATAGAGAGAATGAGAGAATGAGAGATAGAATGTCACTCTCTGATATTGATTTTAATTTCGAGCGCCAGAGGACGATGAAGAAGAACGAAATTCGACAGTGAAAGAATAAAAGTGAAAAAGAAATAAACCCTAGGCTAACTCTCGATGCGCAATCGAGGTTACCTTTAAAAAAGGTATGTTCAAAAATAGAATAGAAGTGATCCCTCGAGTGGCGCTGATCTAGATTCTTAGGAATATTCCTTTCCCTTCCCTTCCTCCCCCCCCCCCGTCCCCGGTGACCCTTCTATTTTTCGTTACTTTTCAACGTTGGTCAAAGTATGAGAGATGCTTTTTTTTTTTTGTTGGGATCGCAAAATGACGGATTCGGAGAGCTGTCGATGAGTGAGTGTTGTCGGTGTTGCGTTTCCCTCATTAACGGACTAATCAGGACGTCTGCGAAAACGAAGCAAGGTGGGACCAGCAGCCGCAACGATCGTTGGATTATTTCTTTGATTTGTCAGGCTCGTTAACCTCTAATTAATCTACTGTTCACGCTATTTGTTTAACGAAACTTAGGAGATCGAAGCAGATAGGCTTTTGGTCTGCTCGTCCTGACACGTGTCGCAAGAAGAAAATAAATGAAATAAAAATATATGTATATATAGAAGGGGGAAGATATAAATAAAAGAAAAGATAAGAAAAGAAAGGTTTACAAAGTCAGGTCAGACTTCGTTGGTGAAAGCTGCGGTTAGTGTCTATGCATGCAATCATATTTTAAACAATCATTTTTATTTTCCTAATGCTAAAATCTTGAGAACTTGATTAATTAATCGGATTCGAATTGGTCGTCCGATCAGCGAAAATAAAAATAATCGAAACAAATAAGATTGAGCACTTTTAATCTCTCGGGACGCATTGATTTTTTTTTTGGTTTGTTTTTTTTTTGTATATCCATGCAGTGTGCATTGTGTGTATCCCGGGTGTCGTACGACGATGCCTCGGTGATTTTTTTTAGGATGCATGATGGTGGTGGTGAACGAACGAAAAGTAACGATCAGGTGGGTGGTGGTGGTGGTGGTGATAGGTGGAATCAATGATAATCTGACGATACCTCTCTTAATTGTAGCGTATCAGCGGTTGACAGCCGAGGATCGTGATAAACGAAGGTTTGAAGTGGTGCTGCTGAGTTGCAACGACTGTCACCTCCTGCGGGAACACTTTCTTCCAATTGAAATGTTGCATACGGATAGATGTCCTCCGAATATTCTATAAATCATTAGAAAATTCATTATAATTAAAGTAGAATTTGTATAAGTTAATTTTGCATTGTTGTTGTTGTGTGTTTAACTTACCTGGAATTTTTTCTAACGTAGCCATCTCGCGTATCGGAGAACGCAAAGGTTTTCTTACGGTAGCATAATATTGTTCACGTTGTTCCATATTTTGTTTATTGTCTAATGCCGCAGCAGTTTGAGCATCGTGTAAGCTACCCATGTCACCCATGAAAGAACCTACGATAGATACTAAAAATTAAACGATGCGCTTGTTCTCATTATATTTATTATGTACTGGAAACGTGATGTACTTACGTTTGCGAAAACAGTAAAATACAGCACCAGCCGCAGCGATAACAGCCAAAGAGCTCAGTACCAAAGGAACGATCAATTTTAGGTCCGAGTATACCGGCGTATGTTGTGGTATAAAATGATCGATTTCGATAGTTGCTATGGTCGAACTAACGTGTAGTTGTAGGGTCGTCACTTTGTATTCGACGACGGAGGAACCAGCATTGTTGTGTGCACGTATACGAATGTCGTAGCTCGTACCGGGTAGTAATTCGCTCAGAGTATAAGTTTTTTGTACCTTCGAAAAGATAATCAAAGGGTTTACGTGAATATCCCTAGGGATATAAGAAAAATGATTTTCGAGAAAATGGGGAATGTACCTCGATGTTGCTGGAAACCAATGTCCAAGTATCCTCTCCGTTTTTTCGAAACTCTAACTCGAAATAAGTTATTGGACAGCCACCGTCGTTCCAGGAGTTTAGATGCAGCGTGATCCAGGATACGTTGACGGTTATAAACTTGTCGGCACTACCAGGCGAATCTTCCGGCTTGGAACCTTCAGTTCTGGCTTTAACAATCTCGCTGGGCGAACCCATGCCAATTAGATTGTAAGCCGTCAAATACATCTGGTAATCATTGCCGCACCAAAGACGAGACAGTACGAAGCTGCTCATCTTGTGGGACACTTTGACCTCTTCCCATTCGCCGGATTCACGTTTATAATGGAGGATGTAGCCCCTTATCATAGAACCCCCATCGTCGCCGTTTTTCCACTGAACGTTTATCGAATTACTTGTCGCGCTGATGGCGTGTAAAAGTGGTGCTGCCGGTGGAACTGGGGAAATAGAATAAAAAGAAGTGAAAGAGAAAGAAAGAGTGAGAAAGAATATAAGTAGCAAAGAAAAGGGGAGAAGAAAAGGAAAAGGAAAAAGAACAAAAAAAAAACCGTAAGAAAGGTAAAGAAAAGAACAGACGCATAGAGACCTTAAATGACGCGAATCCGATTGAATTTCTATAGCGCGAGTGTTAAGGGTCTTTCTCTTTACCCGAAAATTCGATTTTCTAAACGAAGGAAAAGTCGAGGAAGAAAAAAAGAAGCTTGGCTAGCTTCTAATGGTCCCCGCCGCCCCCCTCCCTCGCCCTCGCTCTCGCACCTTCTTTATTCGAGGCAAAAGTTCATTTTAATTTTCTTTACCGAGATCTAATTTATTAACTCGCTCGAGTAGAAGATGTTAAAGGACTTGGCACGTGACCAACCCTAGGTTAACTTTGTTAAACAACGATAATGAGACTGGCATAAAAGAAAACTTCGTTCTATGTTAATGTTAGCATATACATATATATAGATATATACCTTGTACAATTAAACGATGGGTTATTTGATCAGAACCATGACGATTTTCGACGAAACAAGTGTAATTCCCGCTGTCCTCTCTATGCAACTCCGTTATCTGTAAGGAACCATCTTGTAGCATGGATATTCTCGCTGATGGTTTAACCATTTGACCCCATTGTTTCCAGGTCACCGAAGGTTCCGGTTTGCCAACACTTTGACAAGGCAACGTGACGTCTCGTTTCCAAGGTATTACGAAAGCCATACCGAAAGCGTAAATTGCAGCTCGGACTGCAAAACATCATTGGACACATCCTATTAACTTAGTTTCATTCTTTTTCTCTTGTTTTTGTGTGTAAGATATATTATAAAAAGTAATCAACATATATTAATCCTATATCGAGTAAGAGAAAAAAATAAGACAAATGAAAAAAAATAGATCTATTACCTACCTTCGATAGATGGGGAAACGGTAATAAGCGGAGTCTTTGGTCCCTCACCAACCGACGTGATTGCAGCTATACTGAACTCATATTGATTCCTTTTATGCAAATTTTCAGCTTGGAAACTAGTTTGATGAGGTGAAATAGCTCGTTTAAACCACTTGCTGTCACTCCCAACGCTACGGATATGAACGTTGTAGGAAGTGATGTTGCCGTTGCTCCTTAGTGGTGGTAACCAAGAGACGATGATAGATGTTGCTGAACTAGCTACAGCCTTGACACCGGCCGGGACTTCGGGCAAGTCTTCTTCGGTGACACAGTAAAGTGGTGCCGAGGCAACCCCATCTCCGGCTCTGGTAAAGGTCAATGCTTGGATCGAATAATTGGTATATTTTTCCAATCCATGTATCACCACGGTCAACGCCGTTGTTATCTTCATTTCTGATTTGCTCGATTCCGTCATACTGTCCATGTTCTCCCACATCACTTTGTAACCCTTCAGAATGCCATTCAAACTCGAATCCGGGGGCGGATCCCATGAGACTTGCAACGATTGCGAGGACAATGCCGTACATCTTACGTCCGAGGGTGGACTACTTGGTACTGAAAAATAATAAATCATCATTCTTTTCTTCCTTCCTTCTTTTATTTGGATTTTTTTTCTTTAAGAACAAATGTAATACGAGTCCAGCGGAGTTATCCGATAAACGTGCTGTGCTACTCTCTCTCTCTCTTTATTTTCTTCTTCTTTTTATTTTGATTACGAATACGCGTAAAACTTTTAAATCTCGATTCCTAACTCTCATTATTAGGCCCTTATTGTTGTTGTTACTGATATTTCCTTTTCCAGTTTCTTTGTTCTTTTTCGTTTTCACTAAAGTAAGCTTTTTGTTTCTCCTCGTATCTTTCTCTAGAAATCTAACCTCGGAAATGCTTAATGCACGCAAAGTAGAGACGGGATTGGCTTTAACCAAGAGGTGGAATGTTTATCCAACCTGGACTGGATGAAAGAACGAAAAGTACTCGAGAAATTTAAGCGGCGTATCGCATTCAACCTTGTGCTACGGATTAAAGAAAAGTTATTTGCAAGTGGATCACTCGATCTCTCTCTCTCTCTCTCTCTCTTCCTCTCTTTTTTCTATTTCTTCTTTTTTCTTTTTCTCTTTCTCTTTATCTTTCTCTGGCGCGTGCAGCCGACCGTTTCACCCACCGGTTTGAATTTATTATTTAGCCGAGAGTCGACAGTCGGTGGTGGTGGTGGTTTGTATGCATTACGAAACTCGCGATAGGCTTCAAAAAACGTAAGCATTATTCTTTTCTTCATGAATCTTTGAAGTATCTCTCGAATTATCAATGAAAATAAAATGGTCTAGACGAGTGAAATTTATTTCCCTTTTTTTTTTTTTTCTTCCCCCGTAAAAAATGGAAGATTATACTTTTCGTTTATTTGTTTTTTTTTTTACTAGACGATACCATATTAATAACAACAACAATAATAATTATAATTATCAAACTCGAAATAATATATTCCAATAAAAAAAAATAAATGTTAATTCTTACCGTCTTCCAAAGTTGTAGCTACGACTTCCGATGTAACAGGTCCTTGTCCTAAATGATTGTATGCTTGTACAACTACACTGTATCGCGTGAATTTCTTTAAATTCGTTAATTGATATTGACGACCTGGAAGAGAGGTCCTTGCCAAACCTAACGCAACGCTTGCCGTAGAAATTCGTCTTTCTACTGTTTTGTAAGTGTACTGTTCAGCTGCCAAACTAAATTGAAGAAGAAACCTTAAATATTTTTGTATTATATTAATTGTATTCAAAATATTATATATAAAAAAGAAAAAAAAAATAGGAAAAAAATGAGAATAATTCCACCGATAAATTTTTTAATGAATAGAACAATTTTAATAAAAGTTGTTAATAATAATAATATTAATGATAATAAATGATAAATTTTATTGTTAGGTCGCGGGTATAATAATATTCGAAAAAATAATGTAATAAAATAATATGATTCTATCGTGATTACCGGTGTTCCTTGTATCCAACATGATAACCGAGAATTTCTCCATTCCATAAATCATGTTCAGGTGGATCCCAGGTGACGTTAAACTCGGTCGAGCTGACGGGTTCCACTTTGAGGTTTCTCGGAGGACCTCCCGGCTTTTCCCCATCTGTCGTCGCGTCTAAAATCTGAAAGGTACCAGGGGGCTATTCGAGATAAGCCATGTTAAGGATTAAAGGACGTGTCTTCGTCCTGTCATAATTAAAATGACATCTACGCATCCTTAATTAACTTGGGTTGGCTGATGAATCATTTTGTATTCAATAAAAATTATATTACCAGGGTGTTTTTTTTGTTTTCTACTTATGTTAGTATTTTAATAATAATAATAAAATGAAATTTGACGAGACGTGACTTACGTCACTGGCTTGACTCCTGCCGAGTTCATTTTCGGCATAAACCCGAAATTGATAGGTGACTGCTGGTCTAAGACCGCTCACGTGTCCAGAAGCTCTGGCTCCTGGTACCGTTGTATGAAAGGTGTGATCGTGCCAGACTTCTAAAAGATACAAAAAAAAAAAGAGAAAAATCGATCGTTCGAGGAGGGGGAAATCTCGATCGTGATTGGATAGATTCGAATGAAAAGAGCTTTATACTCGCCGGAGTCCGTCTTGTACTCGATAATATATTGAGTAATCGGGCTGTTCCCATCTTGACTAGTCGTCCATCCAATTTTGATATAACGACTTCCTTTCTCCATTACGTGAAGGTTACGCGGGAAATCCGGTGGTTCTATTTGGGTTGAAAATTAAAAATCAAAAAAACGATTTTTAACCATACAACATTCTATCAATAAAATTTTATAATATATTTTAATAGATTACTTCTCTCTTACGTGGGATTATAATCGTAATTATATTTAATCAAATAATAGAACACCATTGTTTTCTAATCAACGCTTATCTACGTAGAATTCAATTGCATCAAAGGTTTTTATTAATTAATAATAATTTCTGATAACGACTACGGGTATTTTCGGTATGGTTTTAACGTCAAATATTAATTGTAATAATAATAAATCACCTAATATGTGGAAACTATAAAATATATTTGTATTTTTTTATTTTTTTTTTTTAATTTTATTCATACGAGAATTAGAATTTTCACATATATATTTAATTTGATATAAATGATCCATCTCTTTCTCTATAATCATAGTGTAAAATGTACGGGTAACTGTCCTATGTAGAATTTAATTAAATTTGATGGCTTCCATTAATTATTACTAAACTAATAACTATAGAAATTTTCAACGAAGGATAGATCGTATTTCCTCGATAATATTCAATTTCGCGTGTGTAATCGTTCGATTTATTTTCACGTTTGTTATAAACATTCATTTTGTTCAAATAATTTCTGATATATATTAAATTAAATTTTATCGTGCGCGCACATACACACATATGTACAATACATATGTATACAAAAATATATTTATTTTATTTTGACTATGCATTTATAAAAATAACGATTGAGATACGTCGATAGATAATATAGATCGTTCCTCGAGATGAGAAGTTCATTTAAACTACGGATATTGCTAGAAGGTTCGATTCGTTTTTAATCAACTTTGTCGAGAAAACAGTTATATTATATATTTTTAAATTTATACATTCCCATTTTGTTCCCTTCGTTTTATTTTTTATTTTCATATCACATCGATGGATTGGTGCTACGTTTTATATTTAAAAAAAAAAAAAAAAAAAGACAAAAAGGACAATATTCTTATTTCGTCGATGCTCTTTTAAATTCGAGAAATAAGTATTTTTAAATTGGTTTATTTTTTCTTTTATTGTTCTATTTATGATCATTCGTATCAAGAGGGGTGTCGTTGCATTTTCTATTGGAAGAAAAAAAAGAAACAAAAAACCCGCTAGATAAATAATATTCTTCGTAGTTGCTTTCAAAATTGGAGAAATGACAATACATGCGAGCACGCGTTGACGTAAGAAAATAGAAAAAAAATAAAAACCCTTGTGACAAAGAAAAAAAATTTTCTGTTAGATTAATTAGATTTTGTATTTTTTTTTCTTCTCTTTTTTTTTTTTCTTAATGAGTTAGCATATCTTTTGTTTTCGATATGAAAACGATGCGTATCTATTATTTCCACGTTCGTTTCAAATTAACGTTCTCTCTGTGGACCGGTTATTAACGTTACGATCGATCATATATGTACTGTCACACTCTCACACGTATATATGTATACGTGTGTGTTGTCTATAATAATTAAAAATGTCGCCGAAGGCTATGTTAATCGATTCATGAATTCACAAATATTCGTTTGGAAAGATAATTATTATTGAGAGAAGCGACGCATGAGAAAGAATTGACTTTTAAATAACATATACCGAGTGTCCACTTTGAATATTACGTCATAATAATTAAAATACTGAGATATAATCCCAATAATATAAATATAACTATTTATAAAACAACGATCGTTTCTTTATTTTTTCTTTTTGTTTTTTTTTTTTTTTTTTACCGTATTATTTGCATTCGTACAAATTTGTTATTTATTACGTTTAGTAATTTGATTAATTAATGATAAATATTTTGATATAAATAAATGCACACACGGTGTATGTGCAGGAATATATTTTTTATCGCTGCAATTCATTTAGTATGAGTATATAAAAATTGTGTGTGTGTGTTTTTTTTTAGGAATGATAAAAAAAATTAATAGAATGTTTTTTACTCACCCTGTATATAAAGATGAATGGTACTTTGATCACGACCATAAGCGTTGGTAGCAATGCAAAGATATTTGCCACTGTCCTCTCTGCTGGTACTCGCAAAACCAAGGATACTGATAAGACCATCGGTGATGTTCTCTTCCTTGAGGGTGTAACGATAGTCGGAAAGTGCTGGCTCTATTTGTAGACCACCCTTTCGCCAGATTATCTTTAAGGGATGATCGCCCTTGGCCTCGCAACGGAGAGATGCATTCGAGCCCAGTCTTGCTGTTTGATTACGATGTTTTTCCACAAAGTGTGCAGGAACTACATTTTTTTTCACATACACATATACGTCAAGAAATATAATTATTATTCATATATATATGATATATATTATTTTTATATTTATTTTTTTAAATTTAAAAAAATATAAAGTTATTTTTTTAAATTAAAATTAAATTTTTGTGTTTTAATATTAAATGAAATGAAATATTATGCAATTTAATAAATTGAAAAAAAAAATTAAAAAATAAGATAAGTTAGAAAAAAATCTTATAAGTTAAATTTTGTTATCTCACCATTGACAGTTAAGTAGACAACCTTGCTCAAACCAGCACCAATACCATTGAGAGCTTCGCATAAATAAAATCCTTCGTGATCCTCTTGTACTCTGCCAAAGACGAGTGAACCGTTCGAATGTATTCGAAGATCTTGCGTGTGTTCGTGACTTGCTATGTCATAATAATTGCCAGGTTTTTTTCCAGTTGCCCTACGCCAGGTAATAGCAGGTGGTGGAAATCCTTCGGCGTGACAATGCAATACAACTCTTGACATTCCTTCCGATGCACGAACATCTTGAGGTTCCATTACCCAACGTGGTGGTACTAGATTTTTATGAAATAAATAAAGGACAAAAAAAAAAAAAAGAAACAAGAAAAATAATGTTAATCGATTAGATCGAAATACCAAGCGAAACGTGAGGTCTTACGAAAAAAATTCGACGATTAGTTTATTTTTTTTACCCTTTATAACGCAATTTCACATACGCCGAACTGTTTCATTATTTTTTTCTGTTCTAACATAACTTATTGTATAATAATAGCGTATTTGTTTAATAATATATTGTAGTATTGATTTATTACTTTAATTTATACGCCAATCACAAAAATAAAATGAACAATAAGTAAGTTATATTAATTTGTATTAATAAATTTCCATTCGAAATAGATCAAAAATATTTCGTTGTTATAGGGGGTTAAAAAAATAAATAATTTAAGAAAAGAATTTTTGAGAAGTGTGATTTTTATAAAGAGAAGAAAAAAACCTCACGTTTCTGACGAAGCTAATATTGGGCATCATTGAGGCAAGAACTAGAAATTCTCTGACTGGGTTTACGGCAATTTTCTACTTTAGCGCAAAAAGAAAAAGAAAATAAAGAAAAATAGGGGTAGAAAAACCAAAGAAATAACGAGAGAGAGAGAGAGAGAGAGATAAAGTTCAATCAACGTCGGTGGGAAATTTAAACGACGATCGATTAATATTTACGACACTCGGTAGTGCGATGTCTCTCGCTCTCGCGAAATAAAAATTCCAGTGCGTTGTTTGGTAACTTGGAAAGGAATACTTGGAGATAGGGTCAAAGGGTTAAAAAAGGGAGAAAGAAAAAGGTACTTTCAAATTCGAAAATGGTAATAAATTACACGTGTATAATAATAAATTTAATATATATATATATAATTATATAAAATATAATAAATAAAATATTTATTTTATTTATAAACACAATATTTTTTTTTTAGGTTGGTCAATAAAATCGTGCAGTTTCAGTCGTATTCCTTAAAAAGTAAACTGCAGCACTCACCTATTGGCCAACTTGATAAATGTGTGTGTGTGTTTATATATTTATATATATATATATTTTTTTTTCTTTTTTAAATTTATTAATTAATTAATTAATTAATATACTTTTTCTCTCTCTCTGGGGAAAAGGGAGATCAGAGTGCTGTGCAGACACCAACGTTCGACGATGCGGTGATGACAGTGCTGTGCACTTGCGTTATAAATACAAAATTGAAAAACCGAAAAAAGGAAGATGATGATGATGAGTCGTCGATCAATAGACACACATCCGTCGTCTCGTAAAAGAACAAATTCGTCGTATAAAATGAAAGAAATAAACGAAAAGAAAAAAAAAATAAAATGGTGGAAAAGAAATAATACCAGCAAAAGTGGGTGCAAAATTCTGTGCGTGTGCGTGACCCGAATGAAAGAAAAGTGACTTCATTACAAAATCATTTTGCCAAATTTATCATTTGCTTTAAAAAACATCGATGAAGAGATAATTGACGATTGTTAATAAAATCGTGCCTACGGCGAAGCCTAATTTTGCATTAAGAATAGGAATATACAAAGAGAAAATAGAAAGGTAGGGAAGGGAAGGGAAGGGAAGGAAAGGGAAAAAATGGGGGTTTTGAATTAAAAAAGGGTGATTCGAGATGACGATGATTTTGATTATTCATGCAATATCATCCCTCGGATGTTTTTTCTCAGAAGGACACCGCGATCTTTCAAAAGATTCTCATCAAGGTACCTATCTTGAATAGGATCGCGGTGACCTTGAGGTTAGGACGGAGGTATAAAAGGTAAATTGTGCGATTTTAGGATGTGCGAGATCAGTGTGCGTGAGTATTGTTCTGTGTGTGCGAAATACACAAGGTATACTGGTGATCACCGACACAGTGGAACATTTCTTTTTTTTTTTTTAATCACTATACGTATACATATATGTATATACAGATATTTATGCTGTGCTTAAGTGCTTTAGGTGCTTTCTGGCTGGTGGTGCGTGTTGCAATTGCTTTTGCTGTTGCTGGCTGCGGCATTTGCTACTACAACGTACTATAGATAGTACGTACAAGTTTGTATAACGAATAGAAGAATTCTAAAGCTGCATGTTTATCCGGATAAACGTGATATCAGTTAAAACGTTAGTTAATACCACCCTCCTACTAGCCGGTATCAACGAACTCTGTGTTCTGAATATTTACGAATATCTGGTGGATAATAGAGAAATGGATATATCGTGTATTAATCCATACTTTCTTTCAAATCAAACCAACCCCTCTCCCTACCCCAATATCCAACCCTGTTGTTTCCTCGACAAAAGAAAACAAAAAAAAGGAAAATCGTAAAAGTCACGTGGATTAGAATTCTGTATACGAGATTTTATTTATCGTCCGATTATAATTTGATTTATTTGCGATTCCATTGATCTCGGGAAATGAATCATTCAAGTTTTCTACGACGCTAAATCTTTTTCCCTTCTTTTTTATGTTCTTATTTATTGGATATCTCAAATATCCTTGGACACGAGATGCAAAAGCGAACGAAATTTTATTTTTATATTATGATATCGGCTTGATTCATATAAATAAATAATTATTCTCGTATTATTTATTATTTATTAAATCAAGCCAATATATATTTAAGAGAATTGATTTGTTTTTTTTTTTGATTCGCAGCCCTAGTTAGCGTGAACAATAATAATAATCAAAATAATAATAAAAGTCATGCTATCAATATGATATTGCGGCTAGTTGCTGCTGCTGCTGCGGCTGTTACTGCTGCTGCTGCTGCTGCTGCTGCTGGTGCTGTTGCTGAATTGCTAAGGCTGCAAAAAGTGGGTGAATCTATCGACTAAAATACGAAGTGATATACACGAAGAAGACAGATAAATTAGTGCGATTGCTGTTCTCTTTCTCTGCGGCAAGTGAGATGTGCAAGAATAAATCTAACGATCAAAAGAAATGATATAACTGAAGTAAGAGGTGCCAATTGGTGAATATTAATGAACGAACGAATGAATCAATCAATCAATCAATCAAGAAGTAGAAGTAGAAGAAGAAGAATAAGATAGCCTGGTGCGAAATAGTGCGTAGAATAATAATATAATCAATCCAAGTGCTAATTAAATCCAAACATCGTGACGAGAGGAATCAAATGAAAGGGAAACATTTGCGGCTCAATAATAATTATTATTATTATAATAAATATTTCTTTCTCGATTTTTTTGGCAAGGGGTGAAGGGGGCGGGGGCGGGGTGGTGCTTTTGGTCTACGCGCGTCTCGGTCTTTCGTTCTTAATTATTTTTTTTTTTTTTCTTTTGGTTATTATTTTCTCAAAATTGTTCTCGTTCTTTCTTTCTTTCTTTTTTTTTTTTTGTATCTTTCTTTCGTTATCGGTTACTACTTTACCACGAACGACCAATTCGGCCGTCCAGACGACCTCGGCGACCGAATTTCGTGCCAGGCAAGTATAGTTCCCCGTGTGTTCTGCGGTGACGCGGTCGATAACTATGGAACTGGAATGGACGTCAATGCTGGTTACACGCAGCCCCGCGGGTATCTGTGAGTGTCTGCTAGCCGTTATCCCGGTATTCCCGAAAGCAGCTGTACCTGAACTGCCAATCGGTTCGCCGTCCTTCGACCAGATGATCGTGAACGGCGGATCGCCTTTCTCGATCATGCAGGTCACCTGTGCTCGAACACCCTCCGAGAGATCCTTGTTAAAGCTAAATGGGGCTATCGTGGGTGGAACTGTACAGACAACAAAAAAGAAAGAGACAGCCTAGTGATAGTCTAACTTTGTTTGGATTTTTTTGTTTTTTTTTTTTCTATCTTTCTAATTGTCGTCATATATTTTGTTCAGAAATTCTCGCGAATTTTCTTTCTCGTAGAAAAATTGGGGCCGCCCAATCAATTTTTCAATCCTTCCTCATGATGAACTTGATTATTCGTCGATCCCTTTCAATGCTGATGATTATTATATATATGATTGACAGATACCTGAGGTATACGTGTGTATGTATTTATGTTTTTATCGTAGTGTATGATTATCCCCTTCCCAATAGTATTGTTGTGTTGGCAACTAAATGATTGCTGATTTGAAATAAAAAAGAAAATTTATATAATTAAATAAAAATATAATTCCACGTTAATCTCTACAAATTTCTGATCTTTGCTAATCAAATAAATTTAGTTAAATGTGATTAAGTTGCCAACCGAATAGAATAGGTATAACGTTAATTAGATTAGTTTTTGTATAATTCGTCAAATGATCGTTACTTTCTTAAAACTTTACGGAATTTCCTTTATTGGAAATAAAATCATGGAACGGAAAATTGGCAGTGTCAAAAGTCCCTAGTTCAGGAACATTGTTCTAGAGAATGTATTTGATTCTAACTTCCTTCCCATTCTTTATTTTTCTCTCACGGTTTTACTCTGTTCTGTTCTGTTCAGTTCTGTTCTGTTCTGTTCTGTTCTGAAGTTAGAGTGAAAGAATGAGAGAGATAGATAGATGGATAGAGTAGAATCCGCTTCGTGTTTCCGCTCGTCTACTTCAGTTACTGGTTGCACCAACTTTCGCCAAGGAAAAGTTTATTTCACCTATGATATTCGGAGACGCCGCCAGCCAAATTTGTCGTCGGTGACACGTGTAGGATGTGTTGGACGTGTAAAAGGGATCATCACGAGGAGAGAATTTAGGAAATGGATTGTCAAATACCTTCTTCCTTTGTAAACCTTTCTTACTAAACATGTTTTAATGTTTCTTTTTTTTCTTGATTTTTTTTAGATGGAAGTAATGGTATTATATCTTTATGTTATGATAAAGATTGTAACATTCTCTACATGGTTTAAATTATGAAATATAATTTTGAAAGATATTTTTGATAAATCAAACAATGAATTGTTCGGGGGATTAGTCACGCGACTGGGGGTAGAATTTTTTGAGTAAAGTCAAGTTAACCGGAGGGCAAGAAGCCCTCCGAATGTAACCATCGTCGCAGATGGACGATAATAACTTGCCTCGTTGAATCACGTGAGGTATATAATACTAAGCTCGAGATGACTCTCCTACCCGCGGGGATATTAGAACAGAACATGATGCTTGTTTGAGAATAATTGAGAAACCGTGGGAAAGAGGGATGGCAGATGGTTCAACGTTACGTGAGTAATACCCAAAGAGGTTCATAGTTGTCTACTACCTGTATGTCGGTAACACAAGATAAGACACGAGGAAAGGAACACGTCTTCATTCAATTGATAATTTAATTCAAATTCAACAAATTTGTTGCAGAGTGTCTTTTTTAATCGAACGAAATATTGTGAAGTATTGACAAATGAAATATCGTAGTATATTCTCTAATGAAAAATTAGTATATTAATATTTTTCATCATTCAAAGTACCACAACCTCTCAGTTCAACTCTTATTTATTTCATTTTTATTCTCACAAACGTGTTGCAATGCTAGATTTGTCGAAAACTACTGACCATCGATTACATTCGAATCGATGTAATATTAAATGTAATATCTAAATTAAAATGCGATCACAAATATAATATCTGTCATCGAAATGTTCAGTTTTTGTGTGATGTTCGGTGTGGTTTCATTAATATTATTAATTATTATAAATTTTAATTTTTTAATTAAAGAGGTGAAGACGAACGAGAAAATATATGTTTTATATTGTTTTATGAATTGCTATTGAATCAGTTTAGTTATGTAGTAGTAGTAGTAGTAGTAGTAGTAGTAGTAGGTAGTATACCAGGCGTATAATAAACGTGATGCAACCCGATTAGAATGTTCAAGACAAAACGATTAACGAGAAATGCTTGTGCAGTATCTTCGTCGTCGTAGTCATTGTCGTCGTCACGTCAGAGTTAAGGAAGACGTTTGTCTACTACTCTTGAAGTATATATATATATACATATACATTACAGGTAGTTGTACAATTGTCTATTTGCAGTCAGCTTTTGAGCAACGTTTACATCCCTTCATTGAAATACGTCGACGTATTCTTAATCTTGCAATTAGAGAAGCATTTAATTGCCTAATTAAATTAAATAACATATATATATATATATATACATGTTGATAAAGAAGTAAAAAAAGTACAGATGTATAATCACGGAATAGAAAAAATAACAGAGAGGGTTGGTGACTGTTTTGGTTCCCTTGTCGGCAAAACACGTGACGTTGAAATCACCCTTAAGCTATTCGTTCGTTCATATTACACATATATACATACACATTCATGTATACACGTGTACATGATATGTATGTAAGTATGTAAATATGTATCTCTGTGTGTCTGTGTCTCTGTGTGTTTGCTCATCGGACAAAGTTTTGTTCGTTCAGTTCGCACTGATTTGTTCTCGTCTGCGAAGAAAAGGATTTTAATGCTTGCGAGAGGGTTGCAAACACGTGGAGAAAAGGAAGAGATTACGCGTACGTATGTACCTACGTACGAAGGGTTGACGAAAGGGGTTGAACGGGGGTGGTTTTAAAAGAAGAAAAATTTCTACGCCTCAGGACAAATTGTGTCAACGATTGATCTTCCCGAGAGAGAACGGGTTGGGGTAAAAGAACGAAAATAAAAAAAAAAGGAAAATTAATAACAATAGCGAATGTCGTCATATCTTTTTTTTTTTTTTTATTTCTTTCTTCTTCTTTTTTTTCTAATAAAAATCAATCGAAAAATATAGGTAAAAATCGCGTATGCAATATATTATATTGTTTGAGAAAAATATTGTTGTAGCGGAGAAGAAAAACAAACAAAAAAAAAAAGAAATGAAAGTAATGTATGAATAATAATCGTTGGTGGTGATTGTTTGAGAAAGAAATTGCGTGTGTTAATGTTTTCTTTTTCCTTTTTTTAAAGTTTGTTGGTTCAAATAATAATGGGGGAGGTAATAATCTTATCTCCGTTCATTTTTTATTATTATTATTTTTGTATTTTTTGTTTTTAGTGTTCTTCCTTTCTCAAAGATTATTAAATTGTAATCAGAGAAAAATCCAAAGGTGAACAAGGAAAAGTTTCGTCTAGAAGTTTTGAAATTATCGTCTAGGTCGATCTCCGATCAAGTTTATACTCGCGTTAAAGTATGCAAACCTCTTTAACTCTTTTTAAGAAGAAGAAAGAAAGCCGAGAAAGGAAAAAAGAAAAAAGACAAGAAAAGTAGAAGAAGAAAATCGTTTTAACATTCCATGAAAGTCGCAAAATGCTGTTGTCACCCAGGGGACGTTTATTAAATTCGTTAAAGTTCGAATAAAATTACGGGATCATAGAAAAGGATCGATAAGAAATAATCGATACCTTAGCATCCGTTAGGACGTGAAAATGGATTAATGGTAATCGGTGATTATTACCCTTTTTTTTTTTGTTTGGTTTCTCAAGATGAAATAATTCTTAATCGTAATTTCATTTTCATTTTAATCGAAGTTGAGAATGAAAAAACGAACGAACGAACGGGGAGAAAAAAGGGGAGAGGGAATAAAAATATGAAATATGTATTGTTGGGGTTGTTTCCTTTTTTTCCAATTTCTTTTTTTGTGGGTTGGAATTTTTGATTGAAAAAAAGGGGGGGGGGACGGGGGATATGATCGGCGACGTCACTGCGTACCATGGACCTTTAGGGATGCTGTGCGAGAGGTTTTTGCGGCCTCGTTGCTCGCCACACACGTATAGTTGCCATTATGAGCAGTTGATGCTCTTTGTATCCTCAATGCAAGATCGAAGTCTCCAATTTGATGGGTGGTAGCTTCCTTCGACACGAGTGGTTTTCCATCCTTCAGCCAAGTAATCTTCAAAGGTGAATCTCCTTCGCTGACCACACAGGTCACGTGTACTCGTGAACCTTCTTGGGGATTGGTGGGAAAGCTAAACGGTTCGATTTTAGGTGGTACTGCAAATTACACCAATCAACGATATCCTTTTTTTAAAATCACTATGATTTATCAGCCACGAGGCGGTTTTTGTTTTTTGCTTTTGCATTTTGCTTTTTCTTCGTCCTGAATCAAAATCTCATTTATCACTAATTAAATACATATTTCTGATTATTAATCGAGATGAATATTTGTGTTGTGTTGGCTGCGTTTAATTTCATTAGTCGAGTAGAAAACAAATAAAAAATTGTGAAAAGAACAATTATTCTGTAAAAGGGATTTGTTTTTTTATTTGTTGTATATCGTGTAGGAGGACGATGCTGTTTCGTTGTTTTAATAATTATTATTTCTTTTTCTTTTTTTTTTTAATTAGATATGACAATATTTGCCGTTAACGAAACGCGAATTTTGAATTATTTAAACGTTCACTTTGTTGATTTGATTTTACATCGAAGTTCGAATTATCACGTTTGTTAAGTAACATCGTTTAATTTACATTTATCCATTTAATTATCCATCAATTCGGATCTTTCGCTAGAGAACTAAATTCGTTAAAATAACACGGATCTGCTTAAGAAAACATTGGATAATTAAGAACGAATGGTGGGTGGGTGGGGGGTAGGAGGGGGAGGAGGAGGAAAAGATTACGTTTTAAGTGAGCTGTGAAACTATAGCGTTACGTTGACCTGACCAGGATTTTTTAATTGAGTGAAATTTTCAAGAAATAGATTTAGAAAAGAAGACAATTTATGAAATGAAAATAAGATCAAATTTTAATTGATTGTTATCTTTACAACGAGACAGCATCGTTATTTTTTTAATACGATTGTCAATGTGTGAGAAGTTTTAATGTCTGAAAGACCGAAAAGAAAATATGAAAAAAAAAAAAAACAAAACAAAACGAGATAAGAATCGTTTACCTTTAACTTCGATGTGAACTGTTTGCGAATCAGATCGACCTTGTTTGTTCTTAGCCGTGCAGGTGTATGCACCTCGATCTGTTGCACTGTCGACGTGATGAAGAACCAATGTCCCATTCGGTGATACTTCTTGTCTCCGACTCGTCGGTAAAATTTGTCCATCTTTTCAACAAAAAAATTATTCGTATACACGATTAGTAATTATTAATAAGGGAGAACATTGTTACGATTATTATAATTCATTTGAATACTTATTCGATCGGTATATTTTTAAAAAGACAATTTTTCATTCAATATCTCGTTAACAAAAGTTTTATCACGATTAATAATTTGATTTATTTATCGATAATATGTATGTATATTTTCATTTATTCGAAAATAACGAATCTCGGACGGAGGATTAACTTTTATTCACTTTTACCTATCCGACACCGATGCTCGTAAAGAGACGTGAACTTATTACAAGTCCGGTTGATCGTTACGAAAAAGAAATGGTTAAAGTTCGGTGCTTTAAAGGGGGAAAAGAAAAAAAAAAATAGAGAGCGAGAAAGTTTGTTTAAAAGATACCGAGATTGAAAACGAAAAAAGTGATGCCGACAAGTTTTTATTCTCTCACTCGCACACGGTTTCTACCCCTATTCTCCTCTCCCTTTTCGCATTCTTGATCTTTCGCGGAAAAATAATATTCATCTTTTAAACCTGTCTTAAATTTATAACCGAACACCCCCCCCCCAATCCCTGCTTGGTCTCGTACTGCGAATAGGATTTATTCACCCTTAGAAAAAAAAAAAAGAAAAAGAAAAACATCTCGCGCATCCTAAAACTTCGTTTATTTGGTGGCTCGTTTAATTTACTCGCGTAATTAATTAACGCGATGCATTTTCATTACGAAGAATCAACGGGGTAATTTAATTAATGAAAACAAATCGGAATGGAAGACTAATTTTCTACGTGATATTATATATAAATTTGCGTTACTCTTTCGTTCGTTTAATTTTTTTACTTTCACGTAATCGAAGATGAAATCCTTTATTTGTGTATTACTTCATGCGTACGCGTGTACGTATTTTTATTTTTAAAATTGTATAAAGGGTTGCATACTTTTAGGCGCGAAACAAATGGCCTTTGTACAAACAGTTGCATACTTTTAGGCGCGGACAAAATGGACAGTGTATAAACAGTTGCATACTTCTAGGCGCGGAAAAAAATGGACAGTGTATAAACAATTGCATACTTTTAGGCGCGAAAATTTTTCCCTCGCGACATTTTAAAAAGAAAATCATTGTGAAGATACAAACGTACCCTTTTCCCACGTAATACTGGCAATCGGGAAACCAGCAACTGGACATTTGATGATCGTGGTCTCACCAGCTACGGCTGCGTAGTTTCCCATAGGACGTACGTGCGGCAAACCATAAATGTTGAGACGAGCAGAATGATGAGCCTTGGCCACTCGATTTACAGCGGAACACCTATATTGTCCGCCATCTTCAACGTGTACCGCGCTTATGTTAACGTGCGATATCACGTCTCCGTGTACTGTCACGTATTGTCCTATCATGAACCTGAAATCAACAAATTAAAACAATAAGGCAATAGAATTTTTCGATAAACTTGGAAAAACGATTATCTAATTAATTATTTATCGATAAATAAAAACAATTCGATTTCGCGTAAATTCAATTAATAAATAAATTCAATTAATTACATATCCAACTAATAAAATTCTAATTTCTTATTAAAAAAATAATAATTATAATAAAGGATTTCTTTTTCGTCTTTGACGTGGATTATTTTATTTTGTTTTGTTTTCTTTTGTTTTCTTTTTTTATACGATAGACACACGCACATAAAGCGTATTATTTAATTAATAAAAAAGAGAATGGAATGTTAGCGTGAAATTATAACAATAATGTCGATCAAAGAGAGACCATTCCCTGGCAAATAACAGGACAGGTTTAAAAAGTTTCGTCGATGGCGGTCGATTGGTAATTTTCCTCTCAATTGGTTCAGAGAATCGAAGCCCGCAGGGCCGTATCCGTTTCCACGGGATCTACATCCTGAAGGGAAGGAAGCTAGGCAGCGGGTTTTGATTTTCCGCTGATCGTAATACCTCGGGGCGCTTAATGACCGCGAATAATTGTGTGTATATAACGCGCGTTCCGCGTCGATAGAATTTTTCTTTTATTTTTTTTTTTCTTCTTCTTTTTCAGCCTATTTTTAAAAACCTCGTTTTTATACGTAGACGCTAAAGGAATCATTATATTCTTGTTAACGTTGTTCGATCGATTATATTCAATAATTGTTCTTCCACTTCTTTTATTTTTCTTCTTAATTCTTTTTTTGTTTTTTTTTGTTTTTTTAAAGAAAAAGAAGAAGAAGAAGTAGTGTAATACCTGTCGTTTTGTGGTAAAGGAAAGCCATCCAAAGTCCAGGAAAAATGCGGCGTCGGATTTCCCGTGGCGATGCATTTCAAGGAGACAGAGGGACCCGGTTGAATGGTCTGCTCGATAAATTTGTAGAGAAGCTGCGGGGCCGCGTCTAAAACAATACAAACAAATATCAAATATTTAACGATTCGAATGAAACATTGGTTGTTGTTTCTACGAAATTTCAATAGATGATACTGTGTGATGTGGTGTATTTATTACCGTTAGATTATAGTTAACGTTAACATTATAGGTAGGATAAATGTAAAGAGAACCGGTTTACCTGGGCCCAGGTGGGTAAAAGTAGGAGTATGGTTGATAAGGTATGGAAATGGGTTCTGGATTGCCGCAAGGCGGAGTATTATGCACGCAACATTTACATGACAAGCCCCTGTACGCGGCCAGAACTATCGATCTGCGGTTTGACGCCTGAACCGGAGTGCCGCCTAGTGAATTAACCCCAAATTATAGAGCCGACAATAACCCAAGAGCAAGAGCAAGAGCAAGAGCAAGAGAGATAGAGAGATAGGAATAGTAGAAGGGTCCCTGTTTGCTTATGGCGTAAATCAAAATGGTTCTATTGCTAGCCATGCCATGCCATGCCACACCCCTATGGACCAACAACACCCCCTGTCATTATAATAAACCACGTTTATCGATCGTACTTATCGATCAATTCAACTTTTTCTACTTTGATTTTTTTCTATCCTCAAAATTGTAAAACCTTTTTCTACTCGTAAGTTTTCTTCTCTTAAATATTTCATTTGTTATTATTAAACAAGATAAACTATAGTAGAAATCGTGATAGCCAATTATTTTCCTGTTGCGATCTACTCGACGAGTGCATAATGCATTTATGCGATTGGGTTTGTAGTTAGTATTAGTAGTATTAGAAAGAGAAAGAGAGAGAGAGAGAGAGAGAGAGAGAGTGGGATCGTTTTACACGATATCAGTGATTTCTCTTCGGCTTTATATATATGTGTATATAGATATAAGTGTTATATGCGTGTATGGACGTATTCTATGGATGGATAACAAGGTCGATGCACCGTCCGTTTAGCCTGTATTTCGATTTACGATTCGATGATTTTAGCGGGCTTCGCGAAGCGTTATTTACCGTGCGATTCGATGCACCCATCCCAACTCTAACCCATTCCACCACCCTCCCCCTCCCCCCAATTTCCATCGTGGGAAAAAGGGCGTAACACGTGATGTAAATAAAATGGGAAGCGTGCCAGAAGCCAAAAGCATGCTTCGCAGCTACTTACGCGCCGTTTGATTTATTTAACGTTTAATGAAAGAGATAACGACATTCAAAAATGAACAGGAAAGAGATGGAAAAATTGATGCTAGAGTGAATAAAAGATAAGGCGTGGCAAAGTGGGGTGAGGGGAGGGGTGGGGAAGGGGGAGGGATAAAAAGGGAACTAGGTAGGATTTTATGTTTGAACGATTAAATACCAAATTGTTGGAGCTTAATATTATATATGGAAAGTAATATAAACGATTGAAATATGGACGTGATACGGAAGTGTACGATGGAATAATAATAATAATAATTATTATTATTATTACGTATATGCGTGACTACATTTCGTAATGCGTATTTTGCGGTATTTGATTTTATTCGAAATAAAAAAATATGTAGATTATATGTTTTATATATATATATATATATTTCGTGTTTTGTTATTTGTCTTTCTCGTGCTGCCCCGTGTATATGCTATTTTGTAATAAATTGCTGTCGAACGTATTGCATATAGTAAGGAGTTAAAAAAAAATCATGATAGATCGATCCCTCCTTTTCGACTTTATATCTTTCGTTTCTTTCTTCCTATCTTTTTCTTGTCCAAGCTAAGAGGATTACTATCGAGTCAATTATTCCAAGTCTTACAAAGCAAAAGTGTTCTCTTGAAATGGAACGGGTGAACGTCTTTGGGGGAGGGGGTTAAGGGTACACTTTCGAAAAGTTAAAGGATGAAAATTTCTTTTACGGAATATAAAGCTGCTTGGAAAATACTTGTTTGGTGTTTGTTCGATAAAAATTGCCAACGAAGGAATGAAGTGAAAAAGTAAGGGAGGAAGGAAGGAAGGAAGGAAGGAAAACGAAAGGAAGTAATCGAATACCGAGAAAGTATAGTGAAAATAGCATGAGAAAAGAAAAAGGACAAAGAGATAATAATAAAAAAAAAAGAAACTTCGAGTGAGATCGATAGAAAGGTATCATAAGTGTAAACGTTTTTCCATCGTTTAGAACAACGCATCCCTTTAACCAAAAGTAGAAGTAGAAGTAGAAGAAGAAGAAGAAAAAGAAGTTGAAAAAAGTGAAGAGAAAAAAGAATGGAACTTTTCTCAAAAGCATTCGAATAAAACTGGTCGGTCGGTCGGTCCACGTGAAAAGCAAGGAAATGAAAGAAAGAAACCGAAAGAAAAAAATAAAGAAAGAAAGAAAGAAAGAAAGAAAGAAGATAGAAAAGTGTGAACGTCGTAAGAAATGTGGCTCGATATCTCAAGCATTTTCACTCGTTCTCATTCCACCCATACCCACCCCCTACTTCCGTACACACACATACACACACCAACTTATACATAAAATATATAGCTAGGTAAAAAACCATCTTGAACACACGGAAGACAATTGTCCGTGTTCCGTAAAGTTTTTTACTTTTCAAACGGTCGAGCTAGGGAAGTCAGCCAGCTAACCACCCACCCACCCACCCAACCAACCAACCAACCAACCAACCAACCAACCAGCTAGCAAGCAACCAGACGACGACGACTACGTTTAAGATAATGGATTACATCACGTTAAGAGTACTGACTACAGCTATAAAGGAATATTTCCCTTCGCTTCTTTCCTTCCCCTTTCCCTTTCCCTTTCCTTTCCTTTCCTTTCCTTCTTTCTCAAATTTTTCCGTCAACTCTCTTTTTTACAATCACTCTCTCTCTCTCACTCTTTCTCTTTCTATATCGTTGCTTTAATTTATTTTGTTTTATTGTGAATCCTTCTTACGCGTGTATTATATGCGATATATGTGTATCTTGTGTCTCGTGCATTTTATCAAGAACTTTATTATTATTTTTATTTCCATACGATAAATTCGTATACATTTTTAACACATATGTGTGTATACGTATGTTGTATACGTGCATTGATTTTGTCAAGATTTCTTTACGATACATTCGTACACACATATAAATAGGTAGATGCACGTACAATGATTTTATTAAAACTTCTGTCTTATTTCACTTACACAAACAAATACGTGTATATGTGTATGTGTACTCTTTCTCTCTCTCTTTCTATTTATTTTCTCTGTCTTCCTTTATATCCTTCTATCTGTTTTCTTACAGGGTGACTAAGACAAATGGAATGTATTTATTTAACAGCACACGCAGCACCAAGAGAAACCCAGTGGATTCCTCGTTTCTCCATTATGCATCTCCCTCGTTAACCGTTTTTTTTTGTTTCTTACCTTCAGGAAAGCTTTCCTTCTTCTTCTTCTTCTTCTTCTTCTTCTTCCTCATCCTACTTCTTATTCTCTCTCTCTCTCTTATTTATCCTTCTCATCCACCCACTGCTTTCTATCACGTTTTATTTTATTTTATTTTATTTTCTTTTATTTTCTTTTCGTTTCTTTCACATTTTTCTTCTCGTACACCAGTCTCGTCGCCAGTATCAACCTTCTTCTACTTCTTCTTCTTCTTCTTGTTCGCCATCGTAGTTGTCTGGCTCCCAAGTCTTCTAACGTGAGAATAAGGAAAACTCAAACACAACAACAACGATGAAACTACCAAGACGATGATAGGAATTGAGAATGCTTTCTTGAAAGCAATAAAAGAATTTGGTTCCATCTATTAAACGAGGACTTTATCTTTTCCCCGTTTTCCCCCAACCCCTCTCAGATCATTGTCTCCATGTGTGTGTGTGTATTTATTTGCGCGTATTCGCGTATGTTTGCGTTTTTAAGGTCTTTAGCAATGGAAGGAAAAAAATGTTGGTGTGAGGGGGTTGAAGAAACCACGACTGGGGAGTGGTACGGTGGGGGGAGGGTAGGAGAGGGGTGGTTTCCTCCACGGACAACGAACGAGAGAGAGAGAGAGTGAAAGAAAGAAAGAAAAGGGTGCAAAGAAAAGAAAAGAAAAAAAAAACGTAGGGTTAAGGGAAAGACTGCGTCGTTATTCGAGCACGTACCTTTAATGAGGTTGCGCGTTGGTTTATAAAATTCAAAGGAAAAAATTTAATATTGTGAATATCTACCGGATATTACCACGAAATAATGAAGTGTTATTGTGTTATATTTACTTCGGTGTTAATGTTCGATGGATTCGTTCGATTTTTTGAAATTGCACTATTGATCGTGATGCAATTTCGATGAATATAATCTTCGTCGAAACCCTGAGAAATGAGTTAGAGAAAAAAAACCGGACCTCCCCCCCTGTGTTTCGAAGATTGGCGGCTATGGGATTTGGATTTGAAGAACGATAAGATAATTCTACTGCTGTGTAAAAATTAACTCATTCAATGCCTAATTATTTTTCTTTCCAAGATATTGATATTTTTTTTGATAAATGTTCCGAATAAAGATTTGTGGTAGGTTGCAAAAAAAAAAAACAAGAAACAGAAACAGAAATAGAAATGGAAACGATTAAAACAATGGGAAACATTCTTTTATCTCGAATACTCGGACACTCCAAAAGTAAAAAGATTTATTTCTTTTTGCCATCTTCCATTAAAAGACGATAAAAATAAAGATAAAGATGACGATGAAGACGATGAAGGAGTAGAATGAGAAATATGAGTATGAGTATAAGGAGGAGCAGGATGAGAAGGGGTTAGGGGTGAGCGGCGAGGGGGTAAGGAGGTAAGGGGGTAAGGGGGAAAATGGTAAGACAAAAGTTTCGTAATAGAGTCTTCCGTTGTTGGTTAACGAGTGAACCCAAGCGATAGCCTCGATTTACCCTTATTATTTCTACAAAGAACTTTCATAAAAGTTTGGCAAAGTTGCTCGCCGGGTTACGAGCACCCGCTTATGCACGCTAATCCGTCTTACTCGGCGATGGTTTAGGTTGCTGGGCTTGGAACCACCTCCGCACCCTTCAACCCAGCCCAACCCAGCAGAGGGAAATTCTTCTTTCCTCCTTCGTAAAACCCACCACCTTCTTCCCTTGCACCGCCCCCGCCACACCCCCACGATTCCTTCGCATTCCACCCATCCTTCAAAACCGCCCCCCTTTCATTCGCAACAACCACTTCCTTTCCATGCCCCCCTTCTTTTTCTATTTTTCATCCCCCCTTTCCAAGGCTGGCTGGCTGACTGGTGGATGGGGTGAATTTCTTTTTTTTTTTTTCGTTACTTTCTCCAAACGTTTTATGTCTTTAATGGGTTTACCTTAAAGCTCCTCCAAAAATAATATCCGTGCACGCTGCCTTACCTTACCTTACCTTACCTAAACGTCCAACCACCCCCGACCACCCCCCCCCCCAAACGTTTTTCACTGTCTCGCGATATCTCACCTAAACGGATAATCGGCCGTTTTCCTCTTTCCGAGTAAAAGTAAGATATCCTCGCGTATAAATCAACACAGTGTTTTCTCTTTGCTTAAAATTTTCCTACTACACCGAACACCTCCCCCCCCCAGCCATCCCCTCCCCGTCCCTATTACTTCTCATCCAAACCATTTCTTTCTTTCTTTCACCTTTTCTCGAATAAAACCATTTACTCGTGCCTCGTTCCAAACGAATTTCATTTTGTTTTTTGATTTCAACATTAAATATTTTCGTTTCTTCTGTTAATATAATGTAAAAAGATTGAAAATTTAAAAATAATCATATAATATTAAATATTTGTCCGCGAATATATAGGTGAATCGTAAAAATTCAAGCGAACGGATAAATAATTAACGTGGATTTTATATTGAGTTAAATTTCCTATCGTATTAATATATTTAACGCGATAGAAAATTAATTTTGATTGAATAATTTTTTGAATTATAAAAAGACACGAAAGAAAAAAAAGATAACGATGTTAAATTTATGAATATTTCTTCTTACGTATACACCTATGATGTATCGTAGTAAAATATAAAATTTAAATTATTACTAAGTTTATTCTTAGGGAAGTTGTTTTTTGGACGGGTTTAATT